AATGTTATTGCGGTATTGTCAAACCCAGGTACTTATTTGCATTATGGTTTAGTAATATTTTAACCACATAATAATGTATGATCTTTGGCATTCACGTCGACTATGTACAATAAAATCCTCTCGGGCTATCAGCCGCATCAAATGGTTTAAACATGAAAAGACCAACGTTTCGAAGTCCATCTCTGTTCTCGTCCTCAGGGTACAGAAGTGGTTGGGGCAACTAACCATCCAACCAAAAAGCTAAGTAAGGGCGGAGTCCTGCGCAAGCGAAAGACATCGACCCTTCCAAGGTAACACCATACCTGCATACGAAACGCGTTGCAGGAAATGGTAAACAGAGCCTCATAAATGAAAAGGGGAATTTTGCTAACGCTAACAGGGGTTCTGTATTGGCGGGAGCCTCGACTATTCAAACTAGGGTCTGTTGCTGCTGATGGGAAGTTATCCCATCAGGCAATTTGTCCAAAAAATTTTTGGTTGTTTCGTTGGTTGGTTCTCTGTGGTTTGAGCCCAAAGAGGGAGGGGCTGGTTCGGCTGAAGGCCTCTGCGGCTTGGGGGGGGGGAAGCACTTCAGCTGAAGGCCTCCGTGATCAGGGGTGGCAGGCCGTGCCCCTGTTCGATTATACCCTGGCATTCTCCTTACAACTGAGGACCTCAGTCAGGGTAGAACCAAAAAGCTCTCCACCGTATCATATATACCTGCTCCAGCCCCGTGTGACTGGTGGATGACGTCATGAGCCGGTAAGCTGAGCATAACCACTTCAGTACCCTGAGGACGAGGACAGAGATGGACCTCGAAATGTTGGTCTTTTCATGTTTTAACCACTTGATGTGGCTGATAGCCCGAGAGGATTTTATTGCACATAATAATGATCTTTAAGGGAATTATTATCGTTTCGTAATCACGTGTTGAATCGTAACATTTCTAGGCACATTGACTAAATATGTAGAGGTATTACAGGTTTGTGAATTCGATGTGTATGTAGGTTCCAGATCTGTTTTATGTTTTACACGCAGTTGACTTGGAGTGAGTTTTCATACTGTTTACTCACTTTCTTTAGTACTTAATTTCACGGTCATCCCCGTCATTGAAGTACTGTTGCTGATGCCGGTATTGTTTCCCCTGTGTCAGTAATTAAAGTAATTCGCAGACATAATGTTGTAGTTTAGTTGGAGCTGCTTCAGATTTGTGTTCAGGTGATGTGGGATATAATGTATTTACTTTTCATAGATCCTTCATAACACAAGCTAAGAATAAGAATGTAGAATAAAAATTAATATCAATACCAAAAAGAAAATTA